TAAGCATCCAATCCAATCCAAGTCCATCTAAAACACAGTTGCATACAGTGTCGTTTTTCATGAAAAAACATTTTATTTAAAAAAACAAAATGAATGAAACAACATTTAACTAAGAATACAAGAACAGAAATAGAAATACGAAAAAACGTTGCGGTTTGATGACACATGAATGTCTCGATGACACAAATGATGTTTCTTCTTCTTAGCCATGAGATTAAAAGGTGTTTACCAAGATTTAAAAGGTGGCGCCACTTTCCATACAAATCATTCTTCTTCTAAGTTTCCACCCCCTGTTACTAGCCGACTTTAAAAATGTTATCAGTTTGTCTGTTTTTTTATTATTTTTTTATATGTGATGATCCCACATGATCGCCTCCTGGTGCTCCGATTTTTATTAACGTTTTTATCATTTACTAGCTGTCGCCCGCAACTCTGTCCTCGCGGAATTAAAATAGAAACATAATAAGTAGCCTGAGATTCATGTCTGTCCATTCAATGATCCATTATTATAAGATAATCTGAAATTATTTTTACTCTTTAGAATTTTGACAATGTTTTGACTTTGACATAATGACGGATTCAAAAATATATCATATCAGGGGGTGGAAACTTAGAAGAAGGACGGTTTGTATGGAAAGTGGCGCCACCTTTTATATAATGGTAAACATCATTTCATCTCATGGCTGAGAAGAAGCATCATTTCTGTCATCGAGACATTCATGTGTCATCAAACCGCTACGTTTTTTCGTATTTCTATTTCTGTTCTTGTATTCTTAGTTAAATGTTGTTTCATTCATTTTGTTTTTAATTAAAATGTGTTTTCGTGAAAAACGACGCTGTGTTTTAGATGGACTGATTATGGTAAGTTACAATTCAATAAAAATTTTCATGTTATTCCCATACGTCAGACTCATTTAAACATTTAAATATTTTCGTATTTTGGTGTAGTTTTTAGCACCACAGTGATTTATACTTTCCGGTTATCATATTGAATGGTGCCCTACTTCTAATACATTTTACATATCAGTTCCTATACTTGACAGGAAATCACATTCTGTTTGTTTGTTATAGGTGCACATATACACGGTTTCCCCCTTCCTGAGAGAAGGTCAGTGAAGTTCAGAAAATGTGTGCCAATCACTGGAATTATAGAGCCATAAACTGATGTGTCTGAAATTAGTAGGTGGGTCCATGTGTGTATATGTAAAAAATATATTTTTTTATTTGTAATTTTTTATTGTAAAGAAAAATCTGCTTGCCTATGTTGTAAGAGAATATGTTCAGAGTGTTTAAACTCGCAAATAACTACAAATTGCCAGTTGCCAGCTTGCATATGACTGAAAATATTTTGGGGGTTGGTTTTAATTACAGGGTATGCATTTTTTTGTGACCGCGCTATACTATTTATTACCGTAAATGTAATTTTCAAATATATATATTAAATATTAAAATATTGAGCTGATATCTTGAAAGTCATTGATGTATATGTACTTGCATAGATTTAAAATTAAGTTATGTAGAAATATAATAAATAATGTACAAAAATATAAAAATATTTTGTTTTTATTTCCCCAATAATAATAGGTTCATTTTAATAGAGGTATTTCATAGAAGGCTACTTGATATCGGCTCACTATAATAATAACTGATAAGTGGGTGTATTATTTTTGAACATTGATTTAATGTCAATTTTAATTTCATAAATTAGATTCCCACTTATCAGTTATTATTATAGTGAGCTAAATAAGCGTGCCTACGTATATAGATACCAAAAAAAAAAAATAGTTCAGCGATTATACGCATGGAGCGCCACAATCGCCGTGGATCCACGACTTCGTGCGACTTGCCCCTCTTTCTATAGTATACTTATTATACTCTTTGTATCATATATATAATTCTGAAATTATAAAGGAAACACAATGTTTTTGCATAGTTCTGCGTTTTAAATAGAATTGAATTGCAAAATATATGAACTAATTAGAAAGAGCTCAACTTAGGTTCGAACCTGCGTCGGCACGGAGTAAGCGCAGTATAAAACTCGCTGGAGTTCGCTTATTGTGGTGAGTGACTAATGCCCGTTTTCTGAAGTATCCAATTATTTTTTCATTAGAAAATGACCTAACTAGTGATTAATTGGCTAAACGTTAACAAAAACACTGCTTTATATCTTGAACTTATTTGTTGGGGACGCAATAGCCAACGCATTCTTAAACGTATCGTCCTTGCACTCTCTTTCCGATGCTTTCCACAGACCAATACCTCCCCTGGTTCCGTCAGCGTTTCTCATACCGCCAAAGCGGGCCGCTAAAGGGTGGGATTCTTTGTTGAACCTTAGGGCGGTCTACGTCGAAAAACCTGGGCTACACTACACAGGAAAGACAGCTAAAGAAAGATAGTAGTTGATAGTAGATAGTTTGTAAATTGTAGGTTACCTACTAGTTGTTCAGTCGTGTGAGAGCAATAAAAGCAACGCTATCTACGAACAATGAATAATTTTCCTTTTTATAGTCCAAAACTTTATTGTTGTCCACGACTCAATAAGTCGAAATGTTTGCATTTCCCTTTACATTCTACTGTATAAATGTAGTAATTTGTGCATTAGTTAATATGGAACCCCACCAACATTTAGCATCTTTATTGCAACTTAGGGCTTGTCTATCTGTTATGGACTGTCGAAGTGCTGCTTTCGTCCTACGAGCGTACAAATCGACCCCAAAACGGTTCCACGTGCAGTGCTAGCAAGCAACTGTTCGGGTCGTTTTACCACCGTTGCACTCAACATGTGCGTTGGACATGTTAGGCACTTAATAGATATCGACAATTTTTTGTACCGCTTTCGTTTCAAATACTATTGTAAATCTCTAGATTTATATGTAGTAAAATGTGTGTCTTCTATGTTAGCACAAACAGAATGATTGGTTAATTGTCTTTATAAATTTATTTCACCGTCCATCGAAGAATACATTAATAAGCAATATTTATTTGTTACGAAGTTTTTCGTATTTTTTTATTACAACAGGCGAATTACTTTTTTTGCCGAGACCAAGTGTTCCAAATTGAATTAACGTGAAATACAGTGGTTGATGCAACAGACTGTATTCAATAAAATACTGTCGTAGTACTAACTTTAATATGAAACCTAATGTTTTTCAAGTTATAGAAAATTGCAACCTATACATTGGTGGCAATAAAGCCTAAATATTTAACACGAATCAGGTTTCAATTCTGAGTTTTATTTCAACAACTAGTAAAGTGCGTTAAAGTACTTCGTTCCAGGAACAAAGGTTTTTTACGCGGCTATAAAAGAAAACCGGTAGACTCTCACAATGAGCGCTATTAACCCCCCACTCCACCACTACCACTACCCTACCTCGCGAGTCATTACACCGCCGCAGACCCGACGGCTGTGTTGTGTGATGTCGACGTCAGCCTCTGATGCATATGAACCCCCAAGTTTTTGGAAGCAGTGCAAGTTCGAATAGTAAAAATTGGCGTTAATATCGATCGCCGAAGAGAGCAACCGCATTGCCGCCACCGTCAGCATGGTTGCCATCGCGTGTGTACAACCTCGGCACGTTTAATACCTTGGTACGTCTAGTGCTGCGATACGTGTTATGCTTGCTTATGACAACTATATCGACATAAAACAATGTACGCTTTGAGTCGCCTTGAATAGACATAAAAATGACCACAAACAAAGTGTTGTGATATAATTGAATACAAACATTGCACATTTTAATTTTCCTTTTTTAAATATGACCTTTTTCAAATATTCAATGAGACTGAGTCTCGAATAATATGTTATATAATGATCACTATTTTTAAGAAAACTAACACTAGTGTATAAGAATCTAGTACATAAGCACTATAAAACTTTATATTTAATTTTGCTATTAACTCCATTTTGTTATATAATATCATGTAAGATTACTAATACTAGTATATAAGAACCTAGCACATAAATACTTCAACTTAAATTCCTCAACATCCCTTTGTCTTAAACTATTTTGCTATTTTCGTAACATTGTATTTACCGTTCCCGCATAGATAAACTAATATATATTTGTTTAAGCATTGGTAACTTCCATTTCCTAATGACTTATTTACAACTCCGTCGAACTCCGTCATAACAAATTCCTAACTATCTATTTACGATTCCTCGAATCCTGTCAACAAGTCATTTAAGAGTGTTGTTTACACAATACCCATATACATATTCGATGTCTAAATTAGATGGAGGTCATTCACTGTTTCGATGTACTACTGTTGACATGTAATTGTGTCCTAGTAAAATAAATTCTTTTTATTCAAATGTTTTGGTCACTTGGCCATATAACAGATATCAGCACTTAATTAACATTTTTACAGAATTATCTTCGATTGACAGTATTGATAAAGGGTAAAAAGCAATAAAGTTAGATAATTTAAATGAAAATAATGTGAAATTTGGAACAAAATCTATTGTTGCGACAAGATAATATTTTAACAGCTTTAGGTAATGGTTACGAATGCTAGTAATAACCTTAATTAAATTTCAGGTACAAATGGAAGCCATCCAAGTAGATACTACCTTAATTATGGAACAGTATAATTTTAATGCGCCCATAAATGTAAAGATAATATATGATGACGATGAAGAAACAAGTGAAGAGTTAACGCAGAACAAAAATTCCCAATGTGAAATAAGGCAATGTGCAAATACACCATATAATAATGTAGAAAGCAATTTAGGTGGACAAGCGCAATTCCCAACATTTAATGAAACCAACAGTACTATTAATAATGACAAGTTAAACGTAGTCATAGATAACATGGCTGCTATTATAGGAGCTCGATCCAAGTTCGAGCAAGTTTGTAAAACACTAAGCACAGCAGAGATACAAAGGTTTAAAGTGAAATATATTGAAATGAAATATTTGCTTTTTAAAAGATCCATAATAGTGGCAAAATTATTACTATTACCACAAAAAAATAATGAATTATTCACGCGAAATATTGTAATTAAAATTCTACAGAAAGCAAAAGTAAATAATAACTTGTATTCCATTGTTAAATTACTTTATGTGGATTTACTAGCGTGGACAGAATCTCAAATAGACAATGAGGAAAAAAATGTTGGAGCACCAAAAAACCAAGGATTAACTTCGACGGTATCATATTATACAGCACCTCATTTAAATTCTGGACATAGAAAAAGAAAACATTCGTCCAATGATGTTCAAGCTTTAAGAGAAATGCTTAGAAAAAAAAATTGTGAAATTGATGTACAAAGTACTGAAAGAAATATCTATCCTGCGTCTGCCAGTTATCCTCCTATTAGTATGGTATATTATCCAACGAATTTAACAGAATACTGCAATCCTCAAGAAAATAATATTAATCAAATCAACGGTTTAAATCCTCCAATAAGTATGCAAGAGCAACAAAATCATTTAAGTACATCTTCATATGGAGCTAATTCAACAATTGAGTATCAAAACACAACGCAAACAAATATTTCACAAAGTTTAGTAAGTAATTCATTAAATTTAGAAAGAAATAGATACGACGTTCAAGATGTGTCTCGAAGTTCTATTTCTAGAGATAGCGGCTTTATGAGTCCTGATATCATATTTTCTCCACAAGAATCAACGGTAATTTTTTAACTTATATTTTAACAATATATTGAATTTGTGGAATAGACATATACTTAAACGGAATTTCTTTCAGAACACTAATTATCAAGACCCATCTTATTGGCAGACGCCCACGTCAACACAAAACACACCTAAAGCAAACATATTAAGTGACAGGAGGGTAGGTTCCTGCGAAGTATGCGGAAAACAAACGGATCTGCTATGCTTGGGTTGTTTTAAATATTTCTATTGCAGCTATAAGTGTCAGGTAATTACAATATTCTTCACATATTACAACTTGTAGCAGTGGGCCTAGCACGAATATTTGTGACTACCCGACATAAAGTACACCAAAAATCTCATACTCATTTTTACATAATTGAAGATGATTGATGATTGGTACAAAGCGCTTGTCGCAAACATTCTTGCTGAGCCCATTAAAGTGTAACTTGTCGTTTCATTTTAAAAATTGCTTTAAAATTATATACCTGTAACGTCACCGTCACCTACCAACTAATTTCCTTAATTTAATTTTCTCTTCCAGAATATACATTGGCTTACGCACAAATTAATGTGTCAAAACACTTACAGTCCAACAGTGTCGCTTCGAAATTCATTGTTTTAAGTTTAGAGTTTATTAAATTATTTTCTCATCGAAAATAAGTCTTTTAAAGTACAGATAAGAAGATAAAAACGTTGATTATAACAGTTACAATTACAAGAATGTGTTTTATTTCACAAAAATCAAATTCTAAAGCTTGGAAACCTTTAAAATAAAACAAGTCCATACCTTTGCATTAGTAGACGTACCACGCGTTGGCAGGAAGAGTGAAAAACGAAGATCGGGTTTGAATCATCGTTCCTTGTACGTACTGCAAAAGAAAAAGTTATTAGCGTCAGTTTTTCCGTCCAAATATGACGTTTCTAAATATAAAAAATATTTATGGAGCCCCCAAAGTGGCTCAATGCTTGAAGCACGGTTAGTAATGCAATGGGAATATTAACAAATCCGCGGAACAATATACAATTACCCCAATATAACACTGAGGAAGTTCTAAGAAGGATTACAATGCATAATAAAAAGACGCGTCTGGGCCTGTTGCTTGCCATCTGAAGTTTTAAAGTTTAAAGTAACAACGATATTGTTGCAAACAATCAAACCAAAAAACCAACCAACAACCAAAAAAACCCCCTACACAAGAAACCTCTAAGAATTGCCACCAAGATTGTGACTCGTAATAACTGGATTTCCACAACTGTCACAAGAGCTATGATTTTTGTTGCCTACCCGCACTACGCAACACATAGAATGAAGTAACATTTTTTGCGTATTTATATTTCTTGAACGATTTGACGTAATAATAGAAATTGTACTATTTTATATTATTATATTCAGTTCATCTAAATCAATTTTATTTAAATAAAACTAATCAAATAAAGCATTAATCCGTTGCCATTTTATATTTGATACATATTTACAAAGTTTACTGTGGGGGCAGATCATCTCTGGAAGTTGAAATATACCTAATTATTATTATTATCAATGTATTTTACTACAGAACGAAGTTGTGTTTATGACTTTATTGTCACCGCGCCAACAATTCCTTGAAACGACCGCTTCCTAGTATCTCGGTGTAACAAAACTACGGTAAAAATAAAATAAAGGTTACGCGTTCAAGGCCCTACCGCCTAGCAGCACATATCAAAGGAGCCCGCTCGCAGCAAGGCGGTGCTTAACAAAGGGTCTCCAAAGGGACAAAGTCCTTGTTTTTTGCTGCAGCGGTGGTGCGCCAGGTAAGGCAGCGTATTATATAGCTACAAATGTAGTAAAACAGTATAATGGATAAATGCACCACAAACGACTAAAAGAAGTTTCATTAAAAAATTCCATACTAATTTACTACAAGGGATTTATCATGAAATAAACGTTAATTTAATTTCAATCCAAAAAAGAACACATGTTCTGTAATTAATACTAAAATAGTTAAAAGCAAGCTTTGTTAACAAAGGTCAAATTGTATCACCACCCAGGTAATAATCTTAGGTTACCATTGGCGAGCTTTCAAAGCAATATAGGCTTTAGGTCAGTGTGAGTTGTTATTGTAAAAACTTACACACACTATAACATATTAATGCAACGTCGAATTCACTCGGATCGGGTTCCTGTTAAACACTGTTAAATACAGCACTCTAGACGGGGTTCGAGTAAAGTTCATTTGAACTTGTTCCGTTCTCTTAGTCCCGCTGGTTCTCTGCGTTCAAATATTATGGATTAATATTTTTCTTTATTTGGTGCCTGCACAATCAAGTTCACGCGAAAAACAGCAAAAAAACTATAATAAATTTTGCATACAAATTGCATCAAACAAAGCATTTTTTTGTATCCACATTCCACAATCCGACGCTGCCACAAACCTTTAGTATAAAAATATGTTACTGTTCTAAAAAAAAGTGATAAAGTACACCTAATAGCCAACTGCTAAGCCGTCATCTGTTAAACAATCTCCAAAAAATCCACTCGACAAAACAAGTGGACGCCTATCTGTCTTTATCCACCTTCTATGTTCCTGGTATTTATAATTGCATATTTGTTAATAGATTTTAAGTGTAATGATACTAATATACTTACTTATTATTTTGATGACTGACAATCAACACCCGTACGGTTTTCGAAGTTTCTGTCTCGCTTAGCCGCGTTGTGGAATGGTCTGTGCTCGGCGGTATTCCCAAACCGCTACGACTTAGGGCCTTTCAATGAGCGAGCGTATCACCATCTCAAATCTGGTATTGCAGATGTCCATGGGCGTAGATGAACACCTCGTTGTCCCGCTGCTAGTTTGTCCTTCTGTTATAAAAAAAATATATATCATTCCTTTTAATCTCCTTGACAACACAGATACCATAACATGTTTTAATATAAGATTCACAGCAATGGAATACTAGGATCATAGCCTTTGTTTCATAATACGTCGTTAAAATTGAAACTATTTTGAAGTCATATGTCATTCTCGTTGATCTCGTTACAAGAAATTCTGGGTAACGGACTAGCTGTTCGCGATAAGATTGAACTGCGCAAGTTGGAGAATATAAACTTTGCTTATAAAAGCTTTATGAATTATAACAATCATTACGATATAACATTATAACATAAGTATTTACATTGACTTATTTACAGATTCCATATGAGTAGAAAATGACAGTCTTGTAAGTGATATACATAGATCAACTTTACTACAACCATACTTTTCAAATAAAACAACCCAGTTTCTTACGCACTTTGAAGAGCATTTTAGTTTTTTTTCCTCACAATTAGATGAAAACTCGAAAGCGGCCACCAGATGTCGCACTCAACTCTGCCTATAAAAATTCCCATAAATTGAACAGTCGAACTTAAAATTGTAGGATGAATCTTAGAATATCAAACCCACTATAATGAAAACGCAAAATTCCAAGGAAAATTATTCCTTGTTCATGTACTACTCGATATCCCCTTTATCAATCGATCCTAATTATGTTTACAATGAAAATGTACCCAACATATCTAAATTATATTTAAGATGTAAATGTATCCAACATTTACATTGTAAATATAATTAGGATCGATTGACAAAATATACAGTAAACATCATCTTGTCTATCATCATTGGAGAGTCATTTAAAACTTAGTATTAGGTAATGACTTATTACCGGAGATTTATACTATTACAAGAAACAAACAAGGAAAAATAAATTAAAAAATGCGAAAGACGAAAAATGTGCTTACAATAAACATTCCTTGACAACAATTAGCATGCAGATTTATCTGTTTACTAGCTGTAGCCTCCGACTTCGTCCGCGCGGAATGAAATGCGAATCTTGACAAACAGACGGACGGAAAAGAAAGTGATCGTTTTTTTAAGAGCCGCGGCGAACTCGTATAAATATCGTATTATTTTTGTGACTAGTGCATTCGTTTGGGAGTAATAAAGGCGACAGTTTGTCCGATCAAAAAGAGCTTTCATTTACCGAATACAGTCCACTACACAAACTATGACTTTGTTCTAAATCTATGTCAAATTACAGCGAAATCTATGGAGCCGTTCTGAAGATATCTTTAAACATCCATCCATCCAAACATTTGCATTTATAATATTTATAAGAGTACTGACATTTGAATGTTTTATTTATGTGGTTAAAACAGTTAACGATAAATAATTGTTCAATGTTATAAATATGAACAAAGGATCAAATAGGCAGCCGCACCGGGAGCGCGATAATAATTAAATAGTACAGATTTATGGCCTTGTTATGGTATGCGCGCGCAACGTCTAAAAATTATTGGTTTGTTTACTAAAATCGTATAATATAAAGTAAAACGAGACAGAATGAGGATAAAATCGAATAAGTTAGAGAAGCAATAATATTATGTATGTATAGTGAAATTAATATTGCCGTAATAATTGTCAAATTGCCAATTCCATACACATAAGTGTGTGTAATTCGTAAATATCATGTCACCGAAAGATCGAAATAAATAAATGTGTGTTTTACTCTTCTTTCTACTTGTTTTACCTATTTCTGTCAGTCCAAAACCAATAAGTTTGACATGGTTAACTTTTAAACATTAACTTAAATTAACTTTAACTTAAGATTTACTTTCTGCTATTAACCGAACTAACTAGGATGAAAAATATTTTAATCATATAAAAATAGAAAAATATATATGGTTGCAAATCTTAGCAATAAAATGATTTTTGTATATAAGAAACTCATTAGAATTAGCAACAGCAACTCTGTCGTGATTTTATTAATCGTCCTTCTTTAATTTCATACTTCGACACATACACGTTTGAACTTGTTATTTTCACAATCCCAGTTAAATCTGTGTACTTATCACTCAAAACAATTAGAGCGCCGTATTGGCCTTGTTTTGTTTATCGAAATATGACTTCGTGGACCGGAAATGTCACGTGGCGCAGTGTTTTAGCGCGAATTTCAAACCACAAGAAAAAAAATCATGTTTTCGGTATGAAATTAGAAGAAGAAGAATTAAGAAGGTTTAAAATAAATCTACAAAAATTATAAAATATATTTCAGAAAATTGGCTAATAGCCAATTTGTAAAAATAAAGACAAAAAAAATTATAGTATCTTGTACATTAATGAACTACCCAATTTTATTTTAGAAAGTCATATGTATGTACTTTACTACATGTTTATTTTACTTAATATATCTAGAGATTTTTCCACATCATTGTATCAAACTGTATAATCGGATATCAACCACCGTTTACGTTCGATTCCGAACGCAGTATCACCGTATACACTACACGGATATTATTTATGGTGGAGATAGCGAATTGCCGCCACTATCGTGGACTTCCTGCTACAAGTAGTTGTTTATTATATAAAGCGTACGTTGTAACTTATCTTACGCTGATAAATATGACGCATCGGCTCTGCCCTGTGCTGTGCTCAGGTCATGGTCGTTGATACGAACACAAGCTAATGCAACGGTTATCGGTGTTGTAAAGTTCCTATAATCAATCTTACTAATATTATTATATAAATGCGAATGATTGGATGGATGGACGGATGTTTGTTAGACGGCATGGATCTCCTTGTATTTGGCATTGATATAGAACATAGCCTGGAAGAAAACATAGGCTCTAAATTAGGTTTTTTTAAGTCCGCTCCAACGGACTCGCTGGCGACAGCTAGTACAAAAGACGAAAACTAAAACAAAACAAACTGACTTCTAAATATCTCTCAAATTATTTCAGATTAAAAGTATTTCTGTAATAATATAATTACTTGAGAACTGTATTTAATTTCTGATTTACAGGCGTCAACACAGTTTTCATACATCCAGACAATAAAGTCGTCAACCTAACCATTCAACATTTTATGTACATCAATCAAACCAAACAAGAATCATGTTATGAGTACTATACAAATGAACTTTTGTTCAATATTATCTTAATTTATGACAAGTATAATTTAACGGTACGTGTTTCGGCTGCATGAAGCTAGGTAGCACCCGTAAAGGCACTACCTACTCGCTGCCTGGAACAAGCTCCCAATTGGGTGACCGGTGATAAAAAGACAAAGTAAGGGACCTCATTTTGCACCTTGCGGCACGCAACTCGCACCTCACTTTGCGCCGGTAACACCGATCCAGGACCCACAAAAGAATAGCCAATTTTGCTACGACCAAAAACGCAGGAAAAATCGCCCAAGAGAAACACTTTACTAAATTGTGTAATTCCTCGGGGTCAGTCAAAACGCGTGCGTGTGGTCTCGGTAGAAGCAGTGATGCGAATGGTGTTGCGCCGAACGTCGCCCTATTTATAAGCGCGCTAAGCAGGTAGCGCTCGGAACCCCGCGTGTTTCGACTGACCCTTTAGACGTATCTTTATTTGAAAATAGTTACAAAATAATTACAAGAGGACATTAAAAGTACGAATTGAACACAACATAATATTGACAATTAAAACCTATGCATACGTCTGTTTTAACACACATTAATATTACCATTATTTTACAGAACTATTACAAAACTTGCAATTATTATGTACAAAATGTCCTTATACAAATCTATATTACTAAAACTATCTTAACGTAATCTAGTCATCTTTACATAACACATATGTGCGCATTATACAAACATGCACGAGCAGTGGGATGCTACTTCGACAATAAAAACATAAAAATTAATTCACGCAAAAGTACATTCTAAAAATAACCTATACAAAAAATAATAACAATAATATTATATATAGGTTATAAACAATTAACATTAAACTTAGATTACAGTGGCAATGTACCTTAAAATCTATACATATGACATACATGAGTTATTTACACTGACTCTATCTGGGGATACAACTGTGGCGACCCTCACTTATTTCACATATTAATTTCACTATATCATTTAATATCGAATATCACTATTTTAAATATTTATTATTTACTTGAATTCTTTCTTGGCATCTGGTCCCACGGTTCTTGCACATTTTGCAAGCCATTATAGAAATTAGGTGCAATAAACTTTAAACATTTTATGGTTCCCTCGCCGTGGCCGTCTTTTGCATCTATTGTCTAATTTTAAGAAACGTTGAATTTTGTTATTGTTTAATATTTTTAAGTCCAAAAATTCCTTACTCTAATGGTTGCAATAAAATAGCCAATCTGCAGCTCTATTGTCTTTAAGGAATGCACATTTCGTTTCACGTATTTTTTAAATTATCTTTACTTGTTTATTACACAGCTATAAAAAAATCCTTTTGATGCCCGTTCCTTTAAAAAAGCCAATTAACATTTTGATGATAAATGTATATTCGACGTCTTGATTATTTAAATTCAAAATAAACATATTCGTCGCCAACAGTACGAGTAGAATGAAAGCTTTGTTCCCGAGTACCCGAGATAAAGAGCTCTTACAAGTCACAAATCTGTTTATTATGGTTGAGACACGGGGTTAGGGGTCGTTCATTAATCACCTGATATGTTTTTAGCTATTTTTGGTCCGCCTTTGTTGATATGTGGTAGTGTGGTTTCATATTTTCCTTCTCATACCCGAATCACGGGTTTTTTGTCATCATCATCATCATCAGCTCACTATATGTCCCCACAGAGGGGCTCGGAGCCTACCCTAAGTTAAGGGTGATTAGGCCATAGTCAACCACGCTGGCCAAGTGCGGCTTGATTGACTTCACACATATCTTTTGCATTTCTTCTCTGATATGTGCAGATTGCATCACGATGTTTTCCTTCACCGTAAGAACGTCGGATAAATGTACATATGTTAATCGGAAATCGAAAAACACATTGGTACATGGCGGGATTCGAACCCAGGACCTGCAGATTGCAAGTCAAGTGTTTGACCACTGAGCCACCGACGCTCCTGTTTTTTTGTACAAAGTTGCAACTAAATTTATTTATTTTAAAACCGGTAGCAACCTACGATGATTCAGTCCGAGTGTACGGATGTAGTTTATAGAGAGGATGTGTCAAGTAGTTTGTACCGTAGAGTATGATAACAATATTCAACAGCAACATCAAGAGACAACGAATGAGAGGGGACGGCAATGATCCAAGGCGTTCCGTACGTAAAGCAGAAGAAGGCGCGGTGCAATATTTTCTGTATTGTTATTTACATCTAATTTGAAGTATCACTAATTAGTAATGAGTGTACAGTCCGAAGTCCTTAAATTGTTTGTTTGCTCACCTAATGTGTTTTTGATGTTATCATTATAGAAGCCAAATGGACTGTTTATTATTCTCATGTCATATCTCTATTTTTTTTTGAATATAAACTCCTTCACTCGAAAATGTTAGTCCGGTAATAACCATCGATAGAAGTAACGCGGCAGTAAAGTAAAGGTTACATTTCTTTAGTAAATTGTTGTACTGAGTTGCGTGTGAAATAATAATAAATAACTATATTCTTCATCCACTACCGGTTGTCATTTTACCAACCCCTTCAGACCAGCCGAACATTACAGATCCACGGCGTTCCGTACGTAAAGCAAAAGAAGGCGCCGAGCAACACTAAGAGTAAGTAGAACCACCTTGATTCCAGTAAACTAGAATGAAATTCATTTCAGAAAGCAATTACCTTCTATTTATATAAAAATCAATTGCTGTTCATTAGTCTCTCTAAAACTCTAGAACGGCTGAACGGATTTATCTTATCTTGGTCTTGAAATGGCCGTGGAGGTCTAGGGAAAGTTTAAACCGTGAGAAATTCGAATAACTGCCGGGAACTAATTTTTTTTTCATTCCACGCGGACAGAGTCGCGGGTAAAAGCTAGTCTTTTATAGTAATTAGAAACGAATATCAATTAATTTGTCCCAATTGTCTCGCTGCTGACGTCTTCTAGGACGTGGAGTCGCTATTAATAGATGTTTGTCGCGTTCTGGGTTTTTCCGTGGTGGATTTTGATAACAACAACTATGTTCGTTGGTACGAAAAATTAACCTTATGGTGTTTTCGGATAGATTATTATGTAATAGAATGGGATCCTGATTCGATTCTATCATTTCGAATATTGTTTCGCAATCAATCGATTTACCAATCGAATCGTAGCTTTGTAATTCAATTTCAGCTCTGTTACCAGTAGAAGTATTTATCATTATTTTATGTTGTTTTATACATATTTTATGTCCATATGACTTTTATCGAATAAAATATTTATATATTTACGTTTTTGTGTCTCGGGTCAACCCTAAAAAACGGAGATTGCGTCATTAATTGGGCGTGTTAAACACGTACAGATTTATAATGCGCTACAACACCATCAGACTAACGGGAGCAAGTGTAAACATAGGGACAACACTCCATTTATTCATCATTCGGTTTCTCAACGCCGTCGCTACATGTTGTGTGTTGAATAATTTTTACCGATTTAATATTTTACACAGGTCGTTATAAAAACTATGTAAATTCAATTTTATATATAAAAATAAATATATAAACATTTATAAATCAAAATTAATATTTAATTCCATTATGTGTTAGTGACAATAAAAAGTGATAAATAAATATAATATTTTAATTTAAAGTGATAAATAGTTTTACAGATATATTGTTTTTGGATGTTTTATTCAAAAAGTGAATACTAAAGTAAGTATTTTATCAAAATTAATTCGATTTTCGTTGATGAATTGGAATAGTGATGAGTTTATTTGTGTTGCCTTATCTTGTTTATCCTATTCTGAGAAGTTTACAGATAAAAATTATATTTTATGTTTTAAGATGCAATAATAAGTCTTTTGTATTGCGAAACACCTATTGTATAGAGTCCAAAAAATGTATAATAGATATGTAAACAACTTCAAAATACAAACATAAAGTAGTAGTAATATTGAAGTAGTTTTAATACTTACCAACATTACATCAAAAAATTTGACTACATGCAATCGCATGTGTTAACTTTTGCATTAAGCTATGTAGTTTTTATTACAGATCTAATAGTATATTTAATTATACTCTATATCAACATATACCTTAATTTTGTATCTTCGGCCCTCCGGTACCGCCATCGTTTTTTCTATCTTCCTCTCTACTCGCTCTCGCTTTCGCTGCTTCATCCTGGAATTTTGCCATAGATATTCTAGAAAATTAATTCTAATTTATAACTAAAGTGGCTGTCGCCAGTGACTCCGACCGCGTGGAATTAAAAAAAATGTATGACAAATTTCATCAAGGTCCGTTCAGCCGTTCTGGAGATACTTTGAGGCAAACGTCTATCCATCCATCTAAACATTCGCATTTATAATAAAACCAACCCCTTCTAACGAATTTAATATGACAACAATCTTAGTGCCCGTTTCCTCTTAGGAGATTGTATTTACACTGAATTATAATATGTGGAAATATATTTTTGTTCTTAATTTAAAAATATTTCAATGCATATATTAACATATTAATTTTACTATTATTTTAGCTACAAACTTGCTTTTATTTATTCAGGTTATATAAAAATCGATATGGATATTCAACAGTCATCCGAAACAGGTACATACAATTGTTTCTAATAATATATTATAGCAAAATATCAATTGCCCGAATCCTGATCTGTGTAATCTGTAACTAGGATCTGAGCAGTTTTCAAAAATTGCATGTGTAGTCGGGCAAATTAACTTTCGTAAATTAATTCCTATAAACTTTTATTTTTTGCAGATGTCTCATCCCTCATGCAGAAATATAACTTCGTCAAACCAATCACTGTAACTGTTATTTATGAAGAAGACGAAGAAAACGTTATAGAGATAAATAACAATGAGATAAATTTTCAAAATATGCCAAATCAAGGAATGGATCAATCGAAACCAACCTTTTCAAGAAAGACCGCGCAAATTAAAACAGAATGCGCAAATTCTAAAGATGATTATCATATGCTACTCACAGTGGCAGAAAATATATCTAAAATAGTTGAAGTATACAATTATTATATACAATGCCTCAAGCAAAACGAAAAGAACGCAATTCTTTTAAAATTTCATTATATCCATACAAAATCTCGATATTATAGGCAGTCATTTGAAGTGGCATATCGTTTACTATTGCCACAAAAAACAAATGAACATCTAAAACATTTTTTGGTAAAAAAAATAATTGAGTTATCAAAAGTTAAAATCGACCCAATGTATGTAAGAGGTCTCTGCAATGATTTAATACTTTGGACTGAAGGAATGAAAGATAAAATTTTAGCTCAAAGTAAAGTCGATAACGTAAGCAATAAGATCGATGAGAAACAATACGTCTCCAACAATTTAAAAAGAAAATATAATCAAGACAATGTTGCAAAAGAAAATAAAGTAGCAATATTTTCGGCTGGACAGAAAGGAAGTGAAATAATTCTAAGCGTCGATGCACAATATTTGAACGTTGAACATAATTCGCAGAGAGATAACAGTAATAAGCGTACAAGGGAAATATCAAAGGTAGAACAAAACGTACCTTATACATCTGTAATCACCACTCCCAGCAGCGAATTAGACAATACTCTGCAAACTGACACGCAAAGTAATTCACATAAACATTTTGTAAAAGAAAACAGAAGCTTAAACAATATTAACTTTAGCAACAATAATAACCTAGAAAATTCATTTAACAAGTCAATACCAAGATCGTGTGCATCAAATAATGCAAATGATTTAATTAAAAATATTAACTATTCAAATCAAAATAATGTAATATCAAAAATTAAAAGGAGAATCGCCCACAATCTCCGAAATCAAGAACAAAATACCATGTCAGGAGTCGTCAAGCAAGAAAGCAAGAGTTGTTCCCTTTCTAACCAAACTGTTTTGGATCGGAAGGTAATTTATTCTTTACAATAAAGGAATTAGTTAATCATATCATTGATTGATTCTTCTAATATGTTATACATTTCTTACAGAAATCCGCTTTCTACCCTCAAACTCTCGAGACAGGACAAAGAGCTTCATATCAAAGCATACCTAATGCTGTAACTCATAATAATACAGTGAGCCAAAACCAAATGCATAGACCAAATCAAAATACTTTAGACTATATGGCAAATTATCCCACCAGTATGCCTTTGCAATATAATACAACAAATAATGTACCTCAAAGAACAAACTTAAATGGCAGTATAAAAACTGTAAACAGTCATATTAATCAAAAGTATGAACACCGTTATATAACTAATACATTACCACCTGTTTATCAAGACTACTGCAATAACTATATGATAGATCGAGGACAACAAAACAATTATAATTGCAGTCAATACAAATTTCAAGAGACGGGTACTTCAAAACGCCAGTTACAAAACCTTTACGTTCACAAATGGTAATTTCTTCTTTTGTTTTTTTTATAACAGAAGGGGGCAAACGATCAGCGGGAACACAGAGGTGTTCAACGACGCCCGTGGACATCAGCAATACCATTTGTATCTTTTACAACGATATATGTATTTAATTTAACAAATTTAAAATATTACAGAACCTTGTCGGCAAGATCGTCCTAATTGATCCTACATGAGTGCCGAACATCCAAACTATAATTTGAATAAAAGTCGCCTATTTATTGCTCCTAAAAAGGTATGCTATAAAAGATTATTATTAATTATAATATACAGGATTAATATGGTTTTAAAATAACACCTTATGTTGACTGCGTTATAAGTAACCGGAACACGCAAAGGAGTAGCAGATTCGCAACCTTTACATGGGACTGCAGATAGATTGTTCAAAATGTTTCTTTTGTCATTGTCGAGAACCTAATAAAAACAATAAGAACCCTCATATGAAACAGACCTTGGAATGAAATCGCCATGTTCAATAGTAGCACATGTATATAAATCTTTCTAATTAGATATTATTATCTTTTCCAGGTTTCAAATGAAATGTATCAAAATGGAGATCTCAATGACTACAAACAGTTGCATGTCTAATATGCAATCTTCACATGTTACAATTGTATTGTTATTAATTTAAATCTATTTTATATAAATTGTAAATAGGAAATATAAGAACAAGTATTATCAATAAATAATTTTAGCAAACATTTTTCATCTTTTCATTCTAGTTTCTTGATGTATTTTTTGGTTTCCTATTCTCACTAACAAACGTTTTATGAGATTTTCTGACATTGATTCACGCAAGATAAGGTAATCCTCGAGGCGGTGCGAGCGGAACCCATGACCCATCTCATGCTACAATATGCTGGTTGCGTGAGGGGTTAACTTTGGTGTGCTGATTTTTGGTGTTATGAATTGTCAACAAGTGAGACACAGTGTCCAATAAATATCATATAAAATGTAGGCACCTAGATAGATGGTCTCTCTTTTAATATTTATATCAATAGAAATGACTGGATTTATAGAGTACATAGCCCATAAGTTATTATTAAAACACAAAATTTAAACGACGAATATTAGTGAAGTGAATCCAAAGTAATGATGAACATTTTCCAAATAAGACATGACCTAAAGGTCTATGTTACCAGGTCAAAAAATTAAAAAAAAATTTAATCACAAATATGACAGGAGACAAAAGAGATTTGACAGTTGACTTTGACATTTGTTATAAGTTTGCGAATTGCAGTGTATTGCAATTTGCGCTGCATTTTCACATTTAATAAGTATTTTATGTTACTATATTGAAAGTACTTAAAACACAGTAATATTCTTCAGTAATAACTAGAATGTGATACGGCATTTAAAATGTTAACAACAAAAATACCGTTGACTTAGTGTGTACGCAAAAATGTTATCATTTATTTTATATTTTTCATACAATTTTAGTTTCTGCTCTTATTTAAAGAGCAAATACATTGATTTAAAAATGTGGTATGCAGCCTTAGTTCGATTTATTCGAAGGAGATTAGTATTGGGCATCATATTTGCATCTTCACTGACTTACTGTATTGTAAGTTTCTTAAGAGAGGTAAGTATGATGTTATACAATTGGTTTATTGAGTTTTTTTAATTGAAATTATAAAAAAACCTGAGATTTGAATAATGAACTTCTTCCATTACAGGGGAGTAATAAAAACATGGTATACCAAGATGTATCAATTGAGCAAAAACCATTTATTTGGAGAACCCTACAAGAACACAATGATACAAATGATACAAAAATTTGTAGAAATTCTGTCCAAGGAAAGTCTGTTGTTGTAGATGATAGAGGTAGGTACAATAACTATTTAACAACTATACAATTACAACATAATTTAACATATTATATATTTCTAATCAATGTGTATATAAAATCAATGGCATATATTCTTAATTTTATTTGTTATTTAGGTTATGTTTGTCAGCGAAGTGATATATTAAAAAATGGTTGTTGCAATCCTGAAGTAGAGACAACAACTAGATACAGTTGTAAATCATGTAAAGATAACAACTGTTGTGTTATTTATGAGTACTGCGTCTCCTGCTGCCTAGATCCTAGCAAGGTGAGTAAAACAACACAAACATAACCCAAAGACATAGTGTCTGCCTTCTATGACTACAATTATAGATTTAAAATAAATTTACTGGCTATTGCTGATGCCTCTGTCTATGTGAAATATATAACAATGTAAATAAGATATATAAAGTTTTACTCATTAAGGTAAGCATCTACATTTTTTTCGTTAAAAACAACCTATATGTCAACATATGACAAAAATTGGTAAATTTTTTCCATACGTTGACATGTGCTGCAATATCCAAGGGAAATAGAAATTAGTTTTAAACATTTAGCAGTATTTTCAATGAAAGCATTATTGAGCTTTAAAAAAAATGATTAAAATGATAATATTATTTTACAGAGAGACATGCTAGAGTTGGTACTATCAAAGTTATCAGCAGAAGAGAATGTATTATTCCGTTCATTGACTGATGACTATGAGTTATGCTTGACGAAATGCCGTACTAGTTCGCATAGTGTCCTACATGAGAACTCGTACAAGGATCCCGCGCATAAGCATTGCTTCGGTGATGAACCACCCGGGACCAGAACACCTGATTAACTAAAGTTACGTAATTACCTAACTGATCCTATCCACTCAAGATATTTTATTGACTCCTCCATTATTATTCGTAATTTGATATAATTTCAAAATAAGATGTCATTCCATTCAGAATTCTCGGAATATCTTGGGTGCAGTTGGATTTTTTTTCTAAGTTAACTATTAATTTTCTCTCTAAGTTGTTTTAGTAAAATTAATTTAAAAAATTAAAATAGTATCTAATTAAACTCACAAAGGTATGTTTATATTTTCATAAGATATTAGTACTTGAATGATTTATATTGTTATGTAGAAATTATGTATTTAAATTAAATAAATAAAAAAAATATTTTATAACTGAAATTGTGCTCTTAAAATATTAGACATAATAATAAAACATATGTAATCTTGTAAAACAATTGTTATATATACAAGTTGTAATAACATTGATTTGTGATATATAGAATTTTGTTATAAATACATAGAAGGAACATTTATTGAATATGAAAAAAATCTATCTAAAAGTTGATTGTGTGCTATGCATTATTCATGGTGCTAAGGTTAATTTATGAAGAACAAAATATGAACAAAACATAAACATGGATTTATTAGAAGGAATATTATAAACATCTTTGCTTCTTTTATATATGTATAAAATTTTATGTACATTATACATAGAAAATATAAGGTTTTACTGATATTATTATGTACCATTTTATAGTAAAACTTATACAACAGATCATGTTAAAACCTAAACTTTGTAAAGAAGAGAATCACCGTTGGCAGCTTTATCTGTAAATTATATTAAAAGGTAAAATTGTATATCTAATATGTATAGGTGACATATATATCATATTTGTTGCTGCAAATGTACTGTAATTCACAAAATTTGGCGTAAAATTGTTATTTTACAAAGTTTTGGTATTGATTTGGAACAGATTATATATATTTCTCTGTGGGTAGGGTTGCTGGCCGCTAAAATCTAATAGCCGGTTAGACCAGCCAGTTTAGCCGGACATTTGCGTAGAAAGACCGGCCACTCTCTATTATAGAGGATTTTTTATCAGTATTTATAGGTACGAAAAAATTTTACGTAAAATTACTCTCGTTTGCGAAATGTAGAAAGCCTAACAAAAAGCGGGCCCGAACACCGATTATATAGGCCGGACACGTAATCAAAAAGTCTACTTATGTCCGGCTTTATCCGGACGCCTGGCAACGCTATCTGTGGGTAATAAAAAATCATTCTCATATCATTAGTATTATGCGACGAAGGCTATTTGGTGTATGGGATTTATTTATTGACATGTAATGTGCTTCAAATGTGTGAATTACGTTATTATAACGTTATACTAATTTAAAATTCTGATAAGAAACGGTGGCCTTGAGACTATTACGCATTTATTTTTAAGATTAAATAACGTTATTATTATAAATGTCTTTAGTATGTTTAGATAATTTTACAGGCACTTAATTGCACGCAGCGCGCGCCAGATTTACAAATTCATTAAATGAAGTAAATATTTAATAGTTATCATTTCTTTAATCCAGTGCATTTTTTTTTTAAATGGCTACTGTCTTCAATTTTTTTATACTATACATATTTTCGATTAAAAAAAAAGGTTATATTATAACCTTTCGCTGCGTGCTTTTATTCTTAGTGCCTCGTATTTGCTTTTAAAAAATATATCAATAAATCTAAAATAAAACACCAAAAATAGTTATAGATTTTAAATTAAATTTTTGTAACAAAATTATTTGTCAATTATACACCAATGATGTATTGATCATCGAAGTATCGATATGTTGTCACTTTCTAATTTTATGAAGAATGAATATAGATTTGACGAAAGTTTGACTGACGTAGTATACTTTTATAAACTTAATTCATAACTATAGCTATATAAGATTTTTCAACTATAGGTGGGCCATTAGGCCACATTTAAAAACTATCAATTTTAGCTTCATAGTGCGATAAGCTGCTTAAAAACGTCGATTAAAGTAAATGAATCCGTTCGGACTTCAAACATACATATGCAATTTGAATTCGATTGTTATGAAATATCCATATTTTTCGGTAGGTTTTTTGTATTATCCGTGGTTAGATTGCCATGATGACAATAAGTGTGTAATCGGTAAGCAATTGTGCGGTTCTAACTTCAAAAAAATAAATAAAATTTAAGCCCGCCGTTACGAGGTTACGTGTTGGATTTTGATCATGTCACCTATTAAACGGCCCACCTATATGTATATAACTTTCGGTATTATTATGAAACCAAATTTTTATTAGGCTCAGTAACATTTTAATATAGTTTTTAAAAAATAATTTTCTGTTTTCACAAAGTACGCAAAACTTACTATTAAAAAATGTTAGCCGATACGAAACCCTTGAAAGATTACAAAATTCTAAATATTAAAAAAATATATTTTTATGGGGTTAAGAGGTAGCTAAAGGATTATCAATACAGACGGACCATTTACTGTATGTTGTGTTATAAATAAAAATATGTACCGTTATTCAAATAAAAAAGGACTGAATCGAAAAGATGTTATGATGTTACCAGATTCAGGGTTATACTTAATGTAACGTTATGTAGATTTATAGAATTTGTAATAAGTTACTAATTTTGTAATAAAATACTTTTTTACAATAGTCTTATTTCATTTGAGAAGTTGTATTTAAAGATCTAGTAACGTCCTTTAGGAAAAGCACGTAATACTATAAAGGCTGGCAACGTATTTGCGGTTCTTGTTTCAGATGTCCATGGACGATATTTAGGCGAAACCCTGACAGTTTCCATCAAACTCCGAATTTTTTTTTTAACTAACGGAATATTATTTTGTTAAAAGAAATTATTAAAAGGAATATTTTACACTAGTTTTCTTTCCAATACGAGTACACTACCGTGTACTATTAGATTCATACCTACCTAAACAAAAAAACATGTACCTATTCTTTGGTAGTGTTTTCTAAGCAGCGGACTACAACGTGTCTGGCCTTTCATACCATTTTGCGTAAGCGCAATGGAT